GGCGGCGGCAGCGGGGCCGCCCGACTCCTCGGCTTCGGCGGCGCCCGGGCCGTCAGCGGCCTCCACGCCGTCGCAGCTGTCGCCCTCCGAGCTGGGCGCTGCCCGGCCGCTTCGGGCCGACGGCGAGTCGCTGGCGCCGGCCTGGCCCTGGCTCCCGGCCTGAATTTCCTCAATGAACAGTTCCCTGCGGATCCGAGACCTACGAGACACAAGTGGTGACGGCGCCGTGAGTGAGCCGCTGGCACTGTGGACATAAGGCCGCTATCCCCTGGAGCCCTCCTCTCTGGCCACCTTGGTCTCCCTGCGCCGCATGCTCACGCTCCCACCCCAGCCCGCGGCCCAGTCGAGCCTGCGGCAGCGCAGGACACCCCCTCTTCCGAGTCACTGCCCACCTCTGCTAGTGCCCAAACCCTGGCGCCTTCGCCTTCGTATAAGCTGTCACTTGGTTGGAATGCCATTCCTCTCTTCTCCACTAGGACACAGCGCCAGTGTTACTTATGGAATGCACACTTCATCCCACCCTGCCTCTGTAGGCTGCGAAAAGCAGGTCCCGTTTATTCTTTGCATGTCCAGGCCTAGCATGGTGCTTGGTATACAGTAGTAGTGCTGGCTGAATTAATGAATGATACTGCATGATAACCACTGCATCCTCATGAAGACTTCATGAGAGAGAACCAATTATTGGACAGTGCCCAAAGTGAACAGCTTCCAGCTCTGAGCCACAGAAGGTCAGGGGCTCCTAGTCCAGGCTGGGGCAGGATTTTACCAAATTGTGTATTTTCAACTAATTCCCTCCTCTGAAAGAAGAAGACCAGGAAATGGTCACTTGATCAAGTAGGAAGGAGACCACATCCATGCTGCAACATATCAAGCAAATTTTAGTCCAGCTGACTTCAGCCTACAGTGGAAAATGTGCTCCAATACTTTGCTGGGACATTGTACTATCTACTGCAGGCCTGAAGAGTGCTTTCCCTTTAAGAAAGGGCTCTTATTAAGTCTGCTCCAAAGTTTCACCTCCCATCATGCTTATGGTATTGGCTCAGTCAGACCTCTCTCTAGGTGTTTCTTAAGGGGTGTAAAAGCCTCTGATAAGGTGCAAACTGTTATTAGTAGAAAAACATCTTCAGGTGAATTAGCACCAAGCCCAGTGTCTTGCAAAAACTGAGCCTGCAGAAAGCCCTTGAGTTAGGCAGGCGTGAAAATATTTTCTGCGTTGTAACTCAATAAAGGCAACGTTTTTGAGAGCCTGCTATATGCCAGGTCCTGTGCTGGCTGTAGTGAGGGTTGGAGCCAGGGAGAAAACTGCTGTAGTTTAGTCTGGGATATCAGAACTCTGGGGTGATTGTTAATCTGTTACATAGTTATTTGCTTCCTGCAGAGAGTGAGCTATGCATAGAGTGAAGATTTCTGAGCTCTGGTTCAGGAAGGTGAGGTTCTGAGAAGCCCCTGGAAATTCCCAGGGGTAACAAGACTTTCCTCTTTCCCTTGGGAGCCTGGGAAATGGCAGCTCCTGTGAATGGGTTCCCTGCTCTCGACTGGCTTTCCAGCCCTTTGGCAGCAAGAATGCCAGTTGGGGTGAACACCAACCCTACCCTACCCATAAACCTGGGTTTGAAATCTGCCTTTGTCACTTACTAGCTTGGTAACTTAGACAAGTTATCTAAGCTTTTTGAGCTTATCTGAAAAATGTGGTCAACAGTGTCTTCCTTGAAGAGAGATACTAAGATTAAAATATTAACTAATATATGGCACAAAGTAAGAGACTAAAAAAAGTCACTATTCTTACTATACAGCTGTCTTCTGAATGGCAGAATACCTGTTACAAGCACAAGGCTGAAGTACAAAAAGAGCTGAGTGTGGGAGGGGACACCTCAGGCCTGGGCCTGGGATCTGGGTTTCCATGCTCAGCAGCTTGGTGGGTGTGTGACCTTGCTCTGTAAAACGGGGCCACAGCTCTGCCTGGGGGTGCCTGGGGGTGCTGATGGGAAGACGTGATGAGCTGCTGCAGCTATACACCTCTTGGCTCAGAGCCTGGCACATGTTAGGTACTCAGCTGATAGCAGACTCATCCTTCTTCGCCTAGACCTGTCTCCATGTTCAAAAGGAATATTATCTGCTGGTCTAGATAGAAGAGGTTCCAGGGGAAGTTCTAGTTTTAGACTGAAGTCTCACAGAATGCCATCAGCTGGAAGAGTTTCTACTGGGTAGACCTGTTCTTCCAGGAGGAGATAGTGCCTTGAGGCATGTTGCTCTGGCATTCCTAGCCCTAGTACTGGGTACACGGAGAGCCTGAGATACTTCCTATTCCCTTAGGGTGAAAGGATAAGAGGAAGTAAAGCTTTATTTTTCTAGGAGGGGCAAAAATTGGTCCCAAGCATTACTTCCTGAGGGTTCCAGTGGGGCAGGAGAGAATAAAATCAAATTTTCCTATTTAACCCCTGCGGAAGAATGTAAATAAACTGTCCCTCGTTTAGGAATTCAACACATTCAAAGCATGGGTGCTGGGTGCCAGTCCTTACAGGAAGCTCTATGGGGTAGACCAGGGCAAGCTGGACTGTACTGCACATTCAATAAACGAACCAAAGCTGGGGAGAGAGTGCTCGTTGAGATCTCTGCTCTGCACTTTACCCGCTGGGTGACTCTAGGCAAGTGACTCCAATTCTCTGAGCTTTATGCCAATTCTGAATAAGCTGGTGCTCACTTCTCATCCACCCTGTTTTGTTATATAAAATTCTTCTCTAGTTCAATCATTCTTTCAAACCCCACTCATCTCTTAACTCTTCCATGATATTTTTCCAGATATGTGCACCTGAAACTAATCTCTGCCCCTGGTTCTCCCTTTTGACTTGGCCCAGCCTGCCTTGTTGTGGACTTATTTCTGAAAGAAAGCATTCATTAAGCATCTACTTGGGATCTGGATCTGGGCTCATTTACTGAATTTTGGTTGTACTCAGCTCCTGCACCTTCTCCATGGGAGCCAGCCCACACATGGGATGCTTGCCCGTAGCCCGCGCTGCTGTGATGGGGAAGCTGCCGGAGACAAGGATTTAGGGAACAGCTCAGCTGCACCTCCTAACTTAGCCTTTATTGGCAATAAAGGTGTGATTTTGGGCCCCCTCTCATATTTTTAAATTTTCCAGGTTGTTCAGAACCTGGGTGGTTTATTGGGCTCCTTCTGACAGTTGGGTAGAATGTACTGATAAGGGTGGGTCCAGCTGGAGAGACAGCCCCTCCCCCTGGCCTGAGCTTCTACTGTCTGCCGGGTACGTTAGGTGAGTAGCTGTCAGGCCCCACCTGCACTGGCTACACATGTGTAGTGTCACAGGGATTTAGCTGGGAGCGCCTACCCTGATCTTACTGAGCCCTAGAGAAAATGATGTTCTGATGAGAACCAGCAATTGAGATGGTCACTTACAAAGCATTAATTCAGGAATTTCCAGCAGGCTACTAGGATTCTTGGTTTCTAGCAGTAGGATGCCTGGTTACAGCTATGATCAATAATTCATTACACTTCAGTGGATTTCTGTGATCTATTCCAAATATTTCATCCCAGTCTACTTTGTTCTACCAGTAGAGCACTGGGCCCTTACCTACTTAGGCAAGTTATTCAACCCTTCTGAGTTTTTATGTTTCATCTGTAAAATGAAGGTAATACTGTATTTCCTATATAGTTGTGAGGGTCACATGATATAACGTTGGTTAAAACTTAGCTCAGTGTCTGGAGATCTAGTAGATGCTCAATAAATCTTCGTTAACTCATGGACTTTTCCAAAAGAAACAGTCTTAAACTATTTATTTATTCAAACTAGGGAGAAGTAGTTGTTCAGCCCCCTCTTTCCGATTGCCCTGGCTTTCGCTAGGGGCTCTCAGAACCACGGAGGCGTCACCTCTACTCTAAGTTGCCCCCCTTCTTTTCATTTACAATGCCACTGAAACTAAATGCGGAACATTCCTGAGGCTTTCAGGAATCCCGTGGAAAGAAGGGTGGGGTGGAGCCAGACAGTGACTCGGAAGCAGAAGTGACTCCCACGGACAGAGTGCTGGGGAGTGGCAGCAGCGGCCACAGTGGTACAAGCAGCAATTTATCCGTGTGCAGCCGCAAACTAGGAAGAAGATGCTAATTAAAGTGAAGACACTGACCAGAGAGGAGACTGAGATTAACACTGAACCCACAGACAAGGTGGAACAAATCAAGGAGCGTGTGGAGGAGAAAGAGGGACTCCCCCCCACAACAGCAGTGGCTCATCTACAGTGGCAACCAGATGAATGATGGGAAGACAGCTGCTGATTACAAGATACTGGGTGGTTCCGTCCTCCACCTGGGTTTGGCTCTGAGAGGATGGGGTGGTCTTAGGCAGTGATGGACCCTCCCTCCATGTTACCTCCTTATCCTCTCACTCATAATGAGGCATCATTTATCTTCTCACTCTCTGGGACACCAGAGCCACTTCCCCCTCCCCTAGATGCCCAGTCTTGTGTGTCTACTGCTGGGAGACTATGGGGACCTCAGGATGCAGTGTTCCTGGCCCAAAGGGCCCTTGCTGGCTACTGGGTTTTAGTTTGCAGTCCTGTGTGCATCCCTGTCTTATGGCTATGCTCCTGGTTGTCAATAAAATATCTTCCCTGTCTTACGGCTATGCTCCTGGTTGTCAATAAAATACTTCCTGGCAAAAAATACCCCCCCCACCCCCCCCAACTAAAAAACCCTACTCAAACTAATTTGGAACATAATAATGTAAAAAAAACCCTAAGAAAGCACCAAAAAAATCACTAAGAAATAAATGTTCATTATTATGGAACCATGAATGTCTACTATCTCCCTTATTAAATTATGATATAACCATATGATATGATCCCCCCCACAAGTCACGGCAGATGTGGACTGAATCTAAACATACAATGTTGACTGGAGGAGATGTGGCCCTACATCTTTGGCCAAGTCCCCAGAACATCATTCCTGTACACCGTTAACAGCCACTGTCTTCCGTACAGACAGCTTCTTCCTAAGGGCTGAACAGGTGCTCTCTAGGAGCTGTGATTTACTGGGCCGGGAGCAGGACTGTACCTGTAATTGTGGAACCAGTTGATGACAGTGCTGGTTTTCAAGTTGAGCTGGGTGGCGAGTTCTTCGATGGTTTTTGGTGACGGGTATGGCTTTTGCTGATAGGCTCGTTTCAGAGCTTCTTTCTCTTCAGGAGCCAGCACCACCCGCGGCTTCTTCAGCTGGTGCTGGGGCTGGGGGCTGGCACCCTGGCTGTAGTCAATGCCAACAGAGGGGGGCTCGCAGGGCTGGCTGTCACTGACTGAGCTGTGCCGCCGCTTCATGTAGGCTGAGGGAGGGAGAGATGTCACACTGAGGTCAAGGCCCAGCTGTGAAATTGGCCTGAATCCCTGATCCCCACTAGCATGAAGAAACATTGCTGGCTTGCAGTTACTTTTGTGCAGAGCATCTCAAGACACCTGGACTAGAACTATTCTGTTACTAGCACTTGCTCATGAGGATCTGCTCTGATGAAATGTGAGGTCTCCATATGTTCCTGCACAACTGGACAGTTCAGTGGGGAACACAGAGATGACCACAGCAGAGCGACAGGGGAGGCAAGTGCAGGTCCCGTGGAGGGGACCAGGAAGTCTTCCCAGAGGAGGTAATGTTTAAATAGAATCTTGAAGGACCAGAGGGATTAACCAGAAAAAATAGGCGATGAGGTAGAAGATGGCAGGAAGCTGTTCAGAAAGTGGGAGTGTCACATGCAAAGACAGAGGCATGGAACAGCATGGCTCAAGAGCGTGTGTGAATGTGTCTGTGCGTGCGTGTGTGTGTACATGGAGGGTGGCGGTGGCAGTAGGAGTTGCTGGACACGAAGCTGGAGAGATAGGCAGAGCCAGGGCAGGCCAAAGATCTGGACTTTTCTGCTGGCAGTGGGAAGAAGTGAAAAGATTTTCATCATGGGGCTCAGGAGAACGGTCTGGGCTAGAGAGAGGAATTTGGGAACCATTAGAATAGAAATTGTAGATGATGTCGGTGACATAGATGAGAAGGAGAGGGGCTGAGAATGGAACCCTGAAAAACAGCCCTCACACAGGATGCTCCTAGGGGAAGAGGCCACAAAGGATACAGAGACAGGAGGAAAAGCAGGAGACGGTGATGTTACCAAAGGGACGTCAAAGAGGAAGGATAGACAGCCGGCAGCGTCAAATGCTACAGAAAGGAGTCTGACAAGAACCCAGAATGTCCTTCGGACTGAGTGATTAGGAGAGACTCAGACCCTGTGAGCAGATCCCACGGAGCTGTGCGAGCAGAAGCCAGGCTACGGCGGGCTGCGCAGTGAATGGTGGTGAGGAAGTGAGGGAGGTATGAGTTACTGTTTTAAGAAGCCTGACTGTAAGAGAAAGGTGACAGGATGGCTTCTAGAAGGGAAATCCAGGGTTTTTAAAGAGCTGATAATGTTTCTGAGCTAAGAGGAGAGGACAGAGAGAGCTGGTGATACGGGTGGAGAGAATGTGCTCGCTGGAGGGACGTGAGGGGGATCCTGAACAGAGGGAGGGAGGGAGGGAGGGAGGCAGGACGGGTGGAGACACAGACCAGGCTTAGAGACTGAGGTGGGGACGGGGGGCCTCTGCATTCTTCATGAAGTAGGAAGGCAGGAGGAAAGATGACTTGATGAGAGGATGAAGAGGGGATGGGAAAGGAGGCCTGAGCAGTGGGAATGGTGGTGGGCCCAGGCCCCCACTGAGGTGGGCAGTGTGAATCTGCGGCACACCAGCCTAGGCAGGCGTGGGGTGTCCTCCAGCAGGACTCAGAAATCAAGAGAAGAATGGCAGGGTGCGAAGGGAGGGACCATGGAGGCTGGGGTGCCTGGGGAAGTAAACTGGGGCAGCAGAGGACAGGCTGATGGGGGAAAGTGAGGGAGGGGACTTTGAGGGTCTGGAGGAGTCTTGGGAAAGGTGGAAAGAAGAGAGAAAGATGGAAAGATGGTAGGATGTGCTCTGTGAGTGGGGTGCCTGACTCTGGGATTTGGGAGGTAGTGTAGCTGGGGTGATAACAATGTTGATTCAGGGACTAGCTAAGGGCTGAGGAGGTCAAAGAACTTGAACCCCGGGGGCTAGATAGGTCAGGTGGGTCTTCCGTGTGGGTAGTGATGTCCCCTGCATGAGGCAGGACATGGGGTATAGAGGAAGGCAGTAACCCTGGGGCCACAGCCTTGAGAAAAAGCAGAGAGTGAGCAAGAGGCTGGGGATGATAGAGAAGGGGACTTCCAGTTAGGCCTGCTGGAATGAGCCGCAAGGCAAGAGGGGTGCATCCACGGGAGGAGGAGAAGGGCCGGAGCAGGGCGCAGAGCTTAGGAGCCATGTGGCCTGCTCTGAGGGGCAGCAAAAGGGACAGCAGAGCGGCACAGAGCAGGGGTGAGGGTAGCCCCTGTGCGGCAGTAAGGCTTGGAGCCTCGGCGTGGGGGCCGTCGCCTGGGGCCATGCCTGGGTGGCTGGTGAGCCCACAGAGCTGCCTGCTTACGTCCTGGGCTGTGTCTGTGCTGTGTCTGGTCCTCTCTGTTGTTTTCTGTCATTAATTCCAAATATGCTTCAAGTTAAAAACCATTCTGACTTCTCTTGCAAATGAGTCACCCATATTGATCTTTCTAGTGGACTAGTTTGGAATAGTCTGAAAACTCTAAAAAGTTCTTAGTGATGGAAGATGAGAAATAATACTTGATTCAAATGTCATGTAGTAATAAGAGTGGCAGCAGCAGCTAACATCTACCATTTAGTCCTTAGAGTCATGCTATGGGAGAGAGATCATTATTACCCCTATTTACAAATGAAGAAACTGGAGCCTAGAGAGGTTGAGTCCCCTGAGGTCACACGGCCAGTAAGTGATGGAACTAAGGTCTGATCTGAGTCTGTTTAGGGCAGCGCAGCCTGCCCTGCTGGATGGTGGCCAGCCCCCATTGCTGCCCTGCTGGGTGGTAGCATGTGAGCAGGCACCTGAGGCAGAATCCACAGGAGCCACAGCAAGCTAATGAGAATACTGAGATCATAAACAAACTAAGGGAGAACACTATTGATGACCAGGGTCCATCTGTAGCCAGGGAGAAGAGCCCATGGAGACAGCCACGGCACTATGTATGTGTACGAGTGTGTGTACATGTACGTCCGTGTGCTTGTGACTACATAAACAGGCTGGTCCAAGGGCCATCTAATAAAGGGAACAGAAAAGCAGAAGGCAGAAAGGCAGAGCAGGGTAGAGAAGAAGGCTTATGAGAAAGAAATAAGGAGAGGAATAAAAGATTGGAGCTAACGGAAGAAGAACAAGCTTTGTGGAAGAGAAGAAAGCATACCATGCCTATAAATCATATGGCCTGGATTCCCTGTTGCAGCATTTTAAATTTAGGCTAGACTGGGCACAAGTGATTTTAAAGGAATACAAATTATTTTAATAACTCATTTACTGAGCACTTACGTGTGCAGTTATAGTAAATAGACATATTTAGAAGGAACACCTTCTAATCCTTACAACCTGGGAAAGTTAGCATTATTATCCTCATTTTTCAGATTTTTGTAGGAATTTAGCTAGGGAGTTAACGAACTTGCCATTTTATTATTAGAACTAGGAAACAATTGAGAAGGTAAATGTTCTACAAAGAAAATTAACATAGTATTTGGCCAGCTGCTCCCCACCCCACAAAATAAGAAAAAGAAATTAACGTGATATAGTCAAAGTCCAGAAAGAAATGGGCTGGACTGTCTAGCGGTTGGAATTCTCTGCCGTCCCCTCCCTCTGGGCAGGTGACCAGGAGGTGAGGGTCACCCAGGCACTGAGGAAGAAGTGTGCCATGGGAATCTGCTGCTGTGTCTGAAACTCAGGTGCCTGGTCTCCTGCAGGGTTGGAGGGGGATTCTCAAGTGAGCTTCTCTAGTGCCAACACCCCTACTTGTGGAGAGAAGACAGTGGGACCACTGCCTCTTTAGGGACCTCTAGATGTAGAAGCAGCCGGGCCCTGCTGTAACAGTGACACTTTTGTAACACAAGAGGGCGCCCAGTGCCCATGCAGAAGGAAAAGTGGGGGCCTGGGAAGCCCCTGAAGGTCACTTGTGGGGACTAAGGTCCTCTCTGCTGGCCCAGGATGAGCAACACAACAGGGAGTGGTGAACTCTATGCCCTCGTCTCTCCTGACATCTGAAGCAACGGGAGGCTGGCCGGGATACTCAGAGCTGCCCGTCAAGCTTGCATGGCAGGGCACTGCCTTTTGACAGAGGTAGAAAACTTTTAAGTTGCTTGGGTGAGTACTGATAACTGCTGAAACTCAGCAACCAATACACTGGGTTTATGGTACCATTCTATTTTTGTTTATGTCTCAAATTTCCCATAGTAAGTTGAAAACTTTGGGGGTGACATGGCACCAGCCTATTAAGCCTGCAGCACCTCCTGAAGCCTTGGTCTATACACCCAAGGGCCCCTGATGGGGTAAAGGCCACCGTGTGGGCACGTTGCCAGGGACAGCAAATGTCCTAGGATCCCAGTGAGCCAAGCTCTCAGCACAAAGGCAGCTGACATACACTTCAGATTGCCAGCTTTGAAGTCAGACAGGCCTACATTTGAATTCCTGCTCCTTACTCAGACCAGCTGTTGCAGTCAGGTAGGTTTCCTAAGGGCCTGAGCCTCGTCTCTGCTGGACAGTGACATCTATGTTGCATAGAGCTGTGTGGATGGAGCAAAGCCTCAGCACAGCACCTGGCAAATAGGAGGGCCTCAGAAAATGGAAGTCTCCATCACTGTCAAAGGGCCCAGCCCCACAGGGTTCCTGAAGGAGGCATCAGACACTCTCGCTCTTTCTTGGAGCTCCAGCCCTCTCCCTGCTTGGGTGAGAACAGTGATGATCAGCTGGGGGAAGCAGCAGACCTGGGCTCTGTACCCACCCAGGGCTCAGTGGCTCGGGGGCTTGCGATGCCCACTCTTAGTTAAGGTCCTCTGCTTTAGCTGGTCAAGAAGGGTGGCTGCAGCTTCTTATGGCCGGACCAGTAGCTGGCAGTCTGCACCTAGGGGATTTGGATTCAGCCACCCAGTGAACTCACAGCACTGTACGTGACCGAGGACTGTGGGCCCTCTGAGGACTGGACTCACTAACGAGGACCAGCCCTTAGGAACTAAAAAGTCAAAAGACAGAGCAGACATGGCGTCCACCACAAAGGTGTTTCCCTTTGGGCTTTTTCCTACATTGCAGCCTATGGGGCCCAAGAATCAACATTGGAGATGACATTCGGGTGCATTTGGAGTTATCCCCTCTAGGGAGGCCATATCCCTAGAGGTTAGAGAATGACAGCAGAAGAGAGATCTGTTTTGGCAGGAATTTGATCTGCCACTTTCCAGGCTGGTGACTTTAGTGGAGGCACCTAACCTCTCTGAACCTGAGTTTCCTCTTCTACAAAATGCATCTCTTAATTCTCCCTCTGGTAAGACCCTATGAAAGCCTCTAGCACTCGTGCAGTAAATGCTGTAACGACCCACCCAGCCACCCCCAAGACAAAAGACAACAGATGAATGAACACCACCCGGTGCTGTGTTGCTCTCTCCTTGGTGCCCCCCACTGCTAAAATAATCTTTAGATTCAGGCTGCTGGGTAGAAACAATCTTACTGCTCTATCTTACAGTCCCTGGGTCACAGGTTAGTGTTTCTCATCAGCTCTGTGGGAAGGACATAAAGGAACTGGCCTGTATGTAGGGGAGAAAGCAGCTTGCTGGGGCAGAGAGCACTGAGTTACCTTTCTTCTCCATCCGTTTCATGTCCATCAGCTTCTCCACGTTGTTAGGGTCATTCAGCCACAGCTGCATCCGCACAAAGGGCTCCCGTCCCTTCAGACTGAGCTTATGCCAGGGCTTTGGGCGGGCAAGGAGGTCGGAGACGGAGCCTTGGGTGAGCCCTAAGATGGTCTCCCCAAATAACCGCTGACCTAGAGAAACAACAGAGCCAAGACAGACTGTCATCAAGTGCAAGGATCTGAAAGAACAGGTACGTGTCAAGGTTAAAATCAGACACAGGTGTTTGAAGGCTCAGAGTCTGGACAGCTGGGTCCTGGCTTAGAGCAAGCACTTGGTAGAAACATTTCTTCCACCAGACTTCTAACAAACTCCATTGGCGGGGGAGTGGGCATTCTGTTTATACACGACAAATGACACTTCTCTCAAAAAAGCCTTCAGGCTTTGGATGAACCGGGGCCTGGATAACACCTGTGGCATTTTTCAGAGGTGGTTAAATCCCTAAACCCAAGCTCAGGAGGTTAAGTAGCACATGGGAGACCTCTCTTGTACAGCCTCAAACCACAGGGCCGCTGCGTCTCCTTTCATGATGAGCAAGGCTATTGGGTCTTGCTGAGAAAACAGGGCACTTGACCCAGGGTCACAGCACGGAGGAGAAGGAGAGTGAGTTCCTCAGCTGTGTTTGTGAAGTCTGCTCCTGCAGTCTAAGCTGACTATGCTGGATGCAGCTCAAAGTGGATCAAAACCCCTTCCCCGATACCTTTTCTTCTCTGAGGCAGGGATAAGCAGCCTGCTTCACAGGCTGATCAGAGGGCATTTTGCTCTGGAGAGCACAGCAGCATTAAGTCTGTAATGTTTGTCAGGGGCTTAAAAAGAAAGGTTCACTTCTCTGAGGGCCATTCAGCGGTGGGTTAAGAGAGCCACCACTATTAAAGATACAAGTTAGAATCAGTCATAGCCTAGATGACCTGATGGGAGAACTTGAATGAACAGGACTTATTAGGTAGAAATGGAGATTGGGATCAGAGAGGCCAGTGTTTGGTCCCATAAAGCATGGAGCACAGAAACCTGTGGCCGGGAGCACTTCTTCCTCTCGGTAGCAGGAAGGCTGTGAGGACAGGCTTACTCCCTCTGCAGCTCACAACCTCCACCTATGAGATGGAGACAGCCCACCTGTGCTCCCAGAGAAGGTGCAGGAGGAAATGATTTGGCAGTGGCTTGTAACAAGTGAGCCTTCAAGATTCTTACTGTGTGGAGAATTTTGGGTTTGAGAAAATTAAAAATTTTTTTGTATCAGTCATTTTAACTTAAGTTTGTTATTTTATAATTTCTCAAAATGTTTATATATATAATTCTTGGGAAATTACTTGTATTAATTCTAGAGGTTTCCTAGGCTCCCAATTGTTTTGGGGTTACAGACCCATTTCAGAACCTAAAGAAAGCAAGCTACAGACCCTCACGTGGTAACACGTGTTACATACATGAATTCTACAGATAATTTCAAGAGGCTGGTCTATGAACACTCCAGGATCCCAGGTCAAGAGTTGAGAGGATGCCTGGGTCTGGACTATGGGTCATCTGCCTAATTCAGCTCTAATCTGGCCCCCTCTGTGTCTGTTACCCACTAAGAAATCCCAGTAGGGAAGACATCTACTTTCCCTGAGTGGCTGAGTTAGAGTAACCATGTAAATTGCTTCTGATCTCTAAGTCCAGGGTGATGCTGCTATGGAGCTGTTCCAGAAGTTCCTGCTCAAAGAGGAGGAAGACATCTTTCTGGTGAGAAATGTTTCACCCTGAAGATCAATGATTCACGCTTTACAGCACTTTAAAGTTCCACAGACCAGCGGGGCGCTGCTTTGCTGCACATGACTAACATCAACTAAAACTCCAGCAACAATAGAGACACGGATGGTCAGGCTAAGGATGAGATTTCAACGTCCACAGTCTCACAACTGTGATCTTGTGACTTATCAGTGCTTGAAAATGAGAATTTTCTTTAGCAGACATTCAAGTTTACATGAAACGATGCTTCCTATAAGGCAGTGGGCAGCAATGATGTGACAGGCCTGCTTCATTGGACTTGTGATAAGACTGTAAAGTAGGGGATGACTCAAGTCTAGGAATCCCTGCACATTTCAATAATTGATGAACATATGGGACTTACCCATTTTTAAAAATTAACAGCTAAATTTTTATTTTTATGAATTAACTTAAATATAAACGTTCTCAGTTGACAGTATTTTTCTCTCATTTTGTTCGGTACAATGCATCACATGAACGGGGGTGGGGGGCAGAAAGCCTCAGCCTGACAAGCTGGCCCAACCCCCAGGCTGGGAGGTCACGAGGCAAACGTTACCGGAACCCAGCTACCCCCTTCTTCTCCACCCTGGGAAAAAAAAAAAAAGACACCCAAGGCCCCTCCTGAAGGTACCAGACAAATTCCAACCACTCTTTGGGGTTGTCTAAGAGGACACTTCCTCCTCTAACTGATTTTTACACCTGGGAAGTAAGAAGGACATACAGGCTTGGGGAGTAGCTGATTCCATTCTCTGCATGTCTACACCCTGTCCGGTCACTACAGCACCACAGGAGCACGATGGTTTCATACGATGCAATACCCTCATGTTCTTATAGCCACAGCTACTGCCTGGTGGTGACACTGAGCGCTCTGAGAGCCACCTCAGGCAGAGCCCTGGGAGGCCACAGCGCACGCTAGGCAAATGGCCTGGGCTGGAGCGCAGTGGGAGGGGTGATGGGTTCAGTTCTCTACGGGCTGCCTCAGCCCAGTGCAGAGTCTGTAGAATGCAGACAGCTTCATGGGGCAGCAGGAACAGTAATAATAATAGACTATTATCAGCTGCTAGGCACGGTGCAAGGAATGGCTGCTACTCGCAACCCCAAATTAACCTTCCAGTTTACTGAGAGGGCTTGGAAAGCATGAGCAGCTTGCCCAGCATCAAAGACATACTGGGCAGTTAGGATTCGGAACCATCTGTTGGATACTTCCAGGAAGCCATTCTGGTGCAGCCAGGCTGGTGCTGATCCTGGCATGTCTCAATAAAGACAGTTTGCTCTGGTCCACGTACATCCCTTCACAAGGGGTCTCAGTGGGGCGCAGGGTGGGGAAGGGCTGGCATTGACTCCAGCACTCTCGTAAGCTCCTCAGTGTTCACAATGGTAGGATGTGTCATGTTCTTATAGGTAGCTTATAAAAGTTTAAACCCCATGGCAGGCAGCCCGAGGCCCCCTTCTCCCATTCTTCCTGAGAACTCACCCAGGTAATGAGAACCTACCAAGGTTGTTGTCTGTCAGCACCTCCTTGACCCGCTTGGTTATGCCGTAGGTGTCCAGCTCTGGTGACATGGCCACTAGTTCTTGAATGCTGAGGGCCGAGTGTCCCGAGAGAGGCAGCGGGGTTGCGGGCTGGGAGTCGGAGGCCGGAGGGTCGCTAGGCTCTGGAGGCTTGCCATCCTTACTCGTGTCAATGGGGGGACAGGGCTGCTGGACCAGCTCCGTCAAGCTTTTCACGGATTCGCTGGAACTCATCGGGGACTCGGGGGCGGGGCTGCAGCTGGCGGAGGTCTTTGGAGTGCTTTCTGTAATTAAAGCACAGGAGAAACCATGGCTGAAAGCAGTCATCTTCACCATGCACGTCTACTTTCCTTATCTAGGGGACACTAATTAAACGCCCTGTACAAGAATATCCAGGACGATATTCCATGGGTCTTAATGAATTGTTTCAGAGGTTTCTGACTGAGAGTAACCCCTAATTTTCTGTATTAAAAACCAAAAATAACACCCATAGAAGAAAAAACAAGGGCTTAAATGAAAGTCTTCTGAAAGTTTAATATAAAGGTGTTCTGATAAAAAATAGGTCATATTAACCATGTGTTGTCACTGTCATGACTTCTTTTAATGAAACCCCATCATTCTGCAATTCAGAAGTACCTTGGCTAGAATATAACTTGCGTTATTTTGTCCATGTTTTCCAGGACAAAAAGAATGGACAGATTGTTTTAAACAAGGGCTGCCCATGACGCATGGTCACCATAACCTCAGATGCCAGCCCTGTGGGGGCCCAATGCTGAGCTCAGCATCCCAGACTTTTCACTTTGGTTGCTACAGGCTCCTCAGCACCCAGCTCCAGAGGAAGACAGCAGGGACCAGAGCGGAGAGGGGCACCTGCTCTGCTCTCTGGCTCTTCTGTGTCAGAGTGCTGTGCCTACCCCAGGACTTGCTGGTACTGCTGCTTTCTGAAAACCAAGCTCTTTGCTCTCTGGCCCTGCTGTGATCAGCAACAGGGCTGGGGTGGACAAGCGGGTGTCCACACTCTCCTTTTTTTTTTTTTTTTTTTCCTTTTTTGTCTTTTTTACTGACCGGTAACGGGATTGCAACCCTTGGTGTCGCGCCCATACCGGGGACCGGCAACGGGATTGCAACCCTCGGTGTTGCGCCCGCACCGCACTCAGCCAGTGAGCGGAACCGGTCTCCACATGGGATCCGAACCCTCGGCGGGAGCGCTGCTGCGTTCCCAAGCGGCGCACTCTCCAGTGCGCCACCGGGCCGGCCCCACACTCTCCTTTCTTAGAGAGGACTTCTGCCTTGTTGGTGGCACTGCAGGTGCCCAGTGGGAAACGCCACCCCGTGCTCTATTGGTGAGTGATCCCTTCTGGCGTGTTAGCATCACCTGTTATACCAACAAAATAGGCTTCATTCTAGTTTTGGGATATCTGAAAAAAAGACTTTGGCCATTTCCTGATTTCCAAATAGAGAGAAAGACTGTCTAGGAGGAAATGTGAAGTGACCTAGCACTGAGGTCCTACCCACAAGGCACAATCTGCCTTTGGCTCAGCTCAGCGTCTTGGCACAATCTTTCTCTCCTGCGCCCACTGAGGCCAACACACAGTGAGACCCCACAATGCCCTGTATGAGGCGTAGAGCCAGGTGCTGTCCTGCAGGCTCCTGTGCACTGGCTCTATGGCCCCAGAAGGTTGACAAGTTGCAGACAGCAGGGCAGGGTCTTACTCTTGCTAGCTTCTCCCTCAGGCCCTTGCAGGTCACTCAGTAAACTGCAGCATGCACAAGAGGTACCCCATAATACTTGTTATCTGACTAAAAAGGAAAAGTACCACCGAGTAAGAATTTAATTTCAATTTACCATATAACTGGAGGATCCTTTGCTGGACATATTGTTTCCAGGATAACAATCTAGTCTGACTCCAAGAGGACAGAAAATATATCCCAAATACAAGGAGTATTTTGTATAAATATCTAGAAAGAGCAAAACTCCAAATAAAACAACTGCAATTCAACCGATATACCTATTTATTGTCCTGAATGGTACAGTTCCACCATTGCACAAAGCTGTGTTCTTTAAATAAATCAGCGTAAAGACAACGACAGCAACAAACCAAACTGGTGTGCGAAAGACGTAAAAAGGCAGAATGGTCCATATAAATCTCTAAGACAAAATGAATCCTACAAATCGGATTTCTTCTCCCTGCTCACCCCAGGTCACTACACAACTGGATATAAACCTGGCAAATGTTATTTTTGTATCTGAAGCCGCAAAGGAAAGGTACTGTAAACTTGCCCTGATTCACCCATGTGAGGGACCAGTCTGGCAGATCATCCATCTTGCTCACTGTATACTGTCAAGGATGGCATGAATTCCCCACATGATAAACAGATTTCTTCTCAGGTTTGTGTCCTTTAACCCACAGCAAGGTCAAAATCATGGCTGCCTGGCTAATAAACGGCGCGGTGCCAGCTGTGGTGGCTCCTCCCTGTTTTGTTCTGGGTGTGTAGGAGGATCTCACCAAATGCCTTGAGCAGCTGCACAGTCCTTCCTTCCAGGCATTCTCAGCAAGCCACTCGCACGTATTTTTGCCATGTGGAACCCCCAGAACTAACAGAGCTGCTCCCCATACATTACCGGTGTCGATCTGGGCCCTGGACCACGATTACAGACAGAGACAAAACCCTAAGATCAAAACCCTGTCTGGGCCCTGCAATGCCCAGGGCGTGTGGCGGTGACACACTGTAGCCAGTTGCTGGAGCTGGCTTGGATCTGCTTTTCTACTCTCAGTGTGTGTCTCAAATGCAGAAAACCACTCAGAGCTGAGTGCTCTTCCTGGGAGACAATTTATGCACTGACAGACACATACACACACCAATGCCGCTGTGGTCTCAGGTCACAGAAAGCAGAATCGGGCCCACGTTGTTTGGATAGGCACAGACAGATGCAAAGCAAATGGACCCTTTGGAGATACCATAAGTCTACATACTCAGAACATGGTGTTAGAAAGAGTCATTCTTTAGAAAGCTATTTCTGAGAACCACCAGCTCCAGCGGCAAGACCAGCACGACAATATCAAACCCATCAACAAGCACCCACAGTCCCTGTTGGGTGGCTGGTGTGTTGGGGAGAAGGTGGTACAGTGCAGGGAGGACAGTTGGTTGCCGATATGACTCACCATCCTGATAGAACAGAAATGTAGTCAACAGAGAAGAAACATCACTTTTTTCTTTTCTTTCCAAAAATTAGCAAATGGAGCCCTCTGATTAAAGTAACACTCTCTGAAAGAACAAGGCTTTGCTCCACTCCATGTAACTGAAAATAATAAATAAAGAAAAAAGGAGGAGTTCTGAGCTTGGCATTATGGTACTGAACTTGGGGGTGGGGCTACCTGTACCAGCTAGCCGTGTGAACTTGAATAGGATTCTGAACTTCTTGGAACACGCTGGTCTCATCTGAAAACTGCAGACAGGGGTGTAGTGAGGAATGAATCTGCTATGTGGTTGGTGCTAAGTAAACATAATCTGAATTTGAGGTTCAAAACAAAAAAGACTAGTTACTAAATTGTACTGAAATGTATTTGTTTGTGTAAAGATCTACATTCAGCATCAACCTCATGATTTGTCACTATTTCTCCCACAGTGTTTGGTAGATGACCGAGATGTTGGTGACAGACTCAAAAGGCTGTATCCTGTCTGATGCACTTAGATGACATTCTAGAAAAGGTAAAACTGCAGGGACAGAAAACAGACCAGTGGTTGCTAAGGGGGAGGAGCAGGAGTTGACTACAAAGGAGCACGAGGGAATACTTGGGATGATGGAATTACCCTACAGCTTGATTGTCAAAACTCATAGATCAGTTTTATGAGTGAAGAGTGAATTTTCCTGCACGTAAATTATACTTCGATAAAAACTTACTTAGGAAAGAAGTGCTGGTGGAAAGCTCATTCTTTCACATTCCATTTGTATACTAGGTCAGGCCACCCTGAATATGGCAGAGAACAGGTCAGAGGTGGCCCTGCCCTCCTGGAGCTCACGCCTAGTAGGGAAGACAGCCATGAAGGAGGAAGTACGTAAAGGATGGTGGACAGGAGGGGCCGGGACACCAGCCCAAGGATGAGAGACCTCCTGGAAGAAGACACTACAGGTGAAGCTCAGGCATGAACAGGAATTAGCCAGTTGAGTCAGGAGGAGCAGGGGTGGCAAGGAAGGGAGGTGGATTGTTCCAGACATTTATAGAAGGATACATAACACGTGGGGGTAAGGAGGTACCTGGTAGATCTGAGGCATAAATAAAATTTAGTGGAGTGAGGGAAAGGCCCCAGGTACTGGGTTGTGCAGGGCCTTTGAATCAGCTCCACAGCATGTCTGTGTTCAACCTCAGGGCAATGGGGAGCTGGGGAAGGCTCTATCCCAAGCTGGGGCTGCCCTGCGCCCGGCACTGCTTTTCTTCTGTGGACTTGGAGTGGAAACAGAGTGTTTATTGAGGCCTTGTCTGAAACAGTAAGAAAACTGAAAATAGTGTCCATCATCAGGAGACTAGGTATCTAAATTGTGGCATGTTCATATAATATACTCTGTGCTATAAATAGCAGAGAGAATATGAAAACTGGAGCCACATGCATCAACACGAGAAGCACAAAGATGAGCCCCAAAGCAAGGTGTGGAACAGAAACAGAGTTCAGCATTTGCATGACATTTGAAAGCCTGCACATGCTATATGTTGCGTGTGGCTACTTAGATGAGGAGTGAGGATAGAAAAGCATTCACGGGAGTGACGAACAGCAAATACACGGTGCACAGTAGTTTATTTCTAGTAGGAATGAAATTGGGGAGGGGGCTTCAACTCTATCTTTAATGCCTTAATTCTTTTAAAAGCATAGGATTACATGATGACCAAAAGTTAAGGTTAAAGTTGGGTGATGGGTGCGTGGGCGTTCACAACATTATTCTCTTCTAAGCAGCAAGTATGCTCACTGAGGCTTCAGTCCAGAGCAGGAACCTGACAACAGCACGCTGGGCTGGCAGGTGCCCAGAGGGCTGCTGCGGTGTCTGGGTGAGGGCAGAAAGCAGGATGGAGAGAGAGATGGGTTCAAGAGAAGCTTCGATAGGCTGAGGGGAAGTGTGAGAGGTAGTGGGATGAAGTGGAGGGAGCCCTGGACACGTGGCCAGCTGCTCATCGAGGGGACACTGTGCAGTAGAGACATCGTGAAGGAGGAAGATGATGTGAAGAAACCCTCTATGGTCATTCATAACAGCAGCCACTTAAGCTGACATTTACTGTGCACTTACTGTGTG